TATGCCCAGACCTATGCACAGGTGATCAAGGAATGTTTGTGTTTGGAATATGCTGTCACTGACAGTCTGCCCTCAATGGTAACGGTTTAACTTCTGGTTCAGACAAGACATTTAACTCTTTGTGTTTATTCATGCTAATGTTGTCTCACACATGGATACCAGATTCTGATTGGTTGAGACCTATTCTGTAATACCCTTACATGTAAATTACGTTTCTTGTAGTGTACGCGGGAATTGCCGAACTTGCATTACATTTGCACCATACCAACCAAAACTTTAGTATCTCGACTTAATAATGTAAGACGCCATTCTCAGGATATTTACGATATGTTTACGAATGAAATAGTTTGGGGAATAGCTTAAGTTTGTTTTCTGCCACAACCAAGTGGATAAATACCTGTTGTATTCTTACCGCTTTGGACAAAGGTATATATGCGGATTACATACCAGCAGAAATTGGGTGTGCTGTAATATATATTTGTAGTCAACCTCACCGTCACATGGGATCAACGACATGGGTTAATATATCCCTGGGGTCCGGTAGACAGTGTATGATGTATTTGGAATGTGATACCGGGGCGCGGTGGGCGAGCTGTCTCGCTAGGCTAGTGACCCAGCGGGGCCTACCTGTGACCGAGGGTAAAAATACCAGCGCCTTGAGCATGCACGAGTTGCGTGGATATGTGCGCTATATAACATAAGTCCTATAAAATATCCTCAGTTGCTTTATGATAATAATTCCCGACAATTATATTATATTGCTAAATTAGTAAGAACGGCGTTAAACCATACCCACTATTTACACTTCAAAATTCGATTGTTTATTCCAGTATGAATTCACTGTATAACGTCATATTTCAACATCCGTATAATAGAACTATCTTGGTTGTCCACCGTGATGTATAGCTCCTAGGCAGGCGTTTTAAATACAATATATTTTATATCGTCTTGTTGTTAACAATACAAATCGGACAAATGACACCATAATGATGTGAAAATGTTGGAACTGTTGATGACATTCATAGCGGTTACATGTCGTCATACATGTTACGCACCTTAAACGTGATAATATGCTCAGCGTCATTATTGAGGGGTCACCCAGATAACTGGAGTGACAGACGTCAGTAGGTCTAAGTATGTTACCTATGTTATTTACAGTTCAAGAACATGGTGTTTCACACTGTGTCATTTGATTGGATGCTGTACTGAAACTGACAAAAACAACGGATGACTAATAAAAACGATGAAAATATCGCCTGAACCCAGTGAGGGGTATTAAACCCAACTCACGCATTGAAAATACCTCAAGTGAAGATCTAAATGAGTTCGAATTTGTTTCACATATTTTCCATTTCGTCATTTTCTAATGTCGCCATTGTTCTACCAAGCATTGAATAAGTGAAGGGTACCCAGCTCGTCGTGTAAACCATGTGAATCACTTACAATAAGTGAGTGAGTGAGTTTAGTTTTACGCCGCACTCTGGAAATAGTCGAGTCTGGGTCAGACAATCCAGTGATCAACAATATGAGCATCGATCTGCGCAATTGGGATGCGATGACATGTGTCAACCAAGTCAGCGAGCCTGACCACCCGAACCCGTAAGTCGCCTCTTACGACAAGCATGGGTTACTGAAGATCAATATTCAAACCTGGACCTTCACGGATCCACTTGGAACGACCTAACATGGTTAAGAATAACTTTCTCCTGTCAAGAGAAGTGATCAACGTGCCATTTGACCTCCCTGATATTAGAATGAATGTACTTTGTTAATGAAAAAGGGAAATGAGGCGAAAAAGCAGTTCCGGCAGCTGGAGATCTTTTGACTTAGTGGTAACATCAGTTTTACATTTTCTCGTGAAACTTGGTCTAAGACTTAATTCGTAAATAAACCGTGAAATGGTTTTGGACTTTCGCCAAAATAACACGTACATTCCCATAATTATGTTGTAAATCAGCGTTACATTACGACAGGCAGTGGTTGACATATAACCTGGCGGTACCGCTTATGTCACATGACTGTCACATGACGTCTGCTGGTTCCTCCAGTTTATCTTCCCTTCACGTTTTCGTGGTTTATTAAATGCTGTGTAAATTAATGAATATTTACGAGGTTCTTTCTTCGCACACTGACCGTAGTCCCGGATCGATAACCTAGCATGCAATGCATTCATCTTTCTTATCGAGTCCAAGGCACTAGCAGCGTCTAGTTCGAGTGCTAACTCTGGTTTGACATCGATACACCATTGATACAAACTGGAAAAGGGGCTGATCAACGTTGTTGATTGAGTGAAACTTTTGTCAAACGTCGCTTCAGAAAAAATACTGTAGTGTATCGACCGTTGGGAACATGCCATTAACACGAAACGTAAAAACAGTCTTGTGCAACAAATAAACATGGGCTGATTGCTAGGGTAAACACGAAAGTGTTTACTTCTGTTTGCGAGTCGTACAAAAGAACAAACTGCAGATAACCTTACGCTGGTGTCGACCTGTATGCTGGCGCTGATGTTGTTGTTGTTGATGCTGCCATTGATTACAAGATTATGCATCATTGATTGTAATAACAAAATATTCCCAGGTTATGCTAACATCGATGTTTAGGATCAGGTTAACAACGATGCCAAAGGTATACTATCATTGATGCCGTGTTATAATGGCAATTCTACCATGACTTCAGTAAACACTGGATTGTGATTGGTTAATTAAAGTCATTCAGAGGTATATAATCACGTTATACAGGTCTCTGTTTTCCGTGCGCAATCATACATGGTTTACGGTAATGCACTATTTTTGTCTGCCCACTAGATATCTAACATGGCGGACACCAAACAACCTACCGATGCATCGATAAATTACGGCGATTTACTGTCGGAAATTACACATATGTCTTTAAAGATGGATTTAGCGATGACGGGCTCGACTCACTACTTGCGTAAATCACAGCAATAGGTGTTTATACATACAAAAGTACTTCGAAAGCATGGAAACAAATATTCAGTCGAACAAGATCAAAACATCGTCTGCTTTCCGAATAAAAATTCAGCAAAAACAAATATGTTTACGTTGATTCTATGTTACGTTAGAATAGATCCAGCAATAGACTGCTACATAATTTCCGTGTTAAATTTATTATCAGCTTTCGTCAACGATATCGCCACTGATCTTGATCCGGTAACGGAGGATGTATTAACATCGAACGCCGAAGAAATTTTAATGCCTTCCGTCCACATAAATAAACAGTTGGGTTATCAATTCAAACAAAATGATATTTTGAAATTTGTACTGTTTCAAATTCAGCGGTAGTAAAACACAATTACTGAATCTGCAAACCGTTCTGTTTAGCCCAACATATATTTTTTCTAACAGTGTAATATCGTTGAAAAGTTATTTGGCTTAGTCATGATCCCTCTTATCCGTTACACTGCTTGATCTAAAGTAGTCTATTAAAGTATAATTAATTACCTTACCGTGTTTATGCCAGAGGTACACCCTCATGTCCTGGTCCATCCTTTCGGAAATATCACCACAAATCTGGCTCTTTGTCAACAGACTCGCGAACATGCCAGCGAATCCGATTCAATTTGAATTCACTACACTTTGAAGCCACTAGGTCACAAAACACTTTCCAAAATGTAGAAAATAATATCCGTAGAATCGAATTTGAGCACAAAGTACACACATGAGTGTGTAAGAGTCACCACAGCTGTCGCACGCAGACGTAGAGGTGCGTGAAATCGTCAAGTTGACAGGGCGCAATATTCAACAGCATCTAATTCGGTACAATCCGGACTTCTCGTTACAGCAAAAGCGCCTCTACTCTTAAATTTTGTACCAGTACCAGTAATTAGATATCAAAGACTATCTCAGTCATACAATCAGGTTAACCTTGCTCAAACTGTCAGTGGCTCTCCTGTCGCATCTTTCCAAATGTAAACAATGACTTCGAGAAAAGGTCAAGGCCATGAGGTTGCTGCCACTATTCTGGTGGGGAAAGGGTCTACGTTGGAATTTTCAAATGTGAACCAAGCTTTTGAAACTTATTTGATATATGTTTTCCAACTTATCAGTTAATGATTGGTGATTGATGCATTGAAAAACAAAACGTGATTTGTTATTACTGAATCTGGAGTTTGTTAGTCATTGACGGTTTGGCCACCAAACACCCGTTTCGGGCGATACCACTTGAGATTGGAATGCGAGGCCGCTTCACGTATTGACTCGTAACCAAAGAAAGAGCTCCACCTGAAATTGTTCATAAAATTGTCATAGAATGGAGATAACCTATGTGGAAAATCAGAGGTATATAACGAAATTATAATAGTTTCTAAATTTCATTTAAAACCGAACGCGTAGCGTGAGGTTTTAAATGAACAATTTAGAGCTATTATAATTTCGTTATATACCTCTGATTTTCCCACACAGTAGGTTTATCTCCTAATTATTCCAAGGGTGTTATATAATAGATTTCATATTATGAAAACAATAAGCCAATGCTATGATCATATCGATGCCAGAATTATGTTACCATTGATGCCAAAGGCTGTATTACCATTGTTGCGAACGTTATGTTTCCATTGATGTAAAGTGCACAGTCACACTGATGCCAAATCTATATTACCACTCATCCCACGTTCATGTTACCACTGATGCCAATTTTATGTTACATTGATGCCAAGATTACGTTGAATTTGGAATAGATTATGGTAACGCTGATGACGAAGGTTACATAAATATGTATTCCAAGATGTTGAAATTAGTGTCTGGGTGATGGTACCATTAACGCTGAGATTATGTTATCCTTGGTTACCCTTGGTTACATTATGTTATCCTTAGTGCGAGCGAGTTTGGTTTTACGCCGCTTTTAGCAATAGTTACCCTTAGTATACGCTAGGAGTATACGAAGAAAAACTGAAAAATGAGAAAACTGAAGGTTTGATACGATGATAAACCCACATAAAACAAGGGTAAATATCTAAATGTAAATATGTTATCCTACAGGACAAAACAGAGGAGTATTCCAAGGAAGACAACTCCACCAAGGACTCACAACAACGAGACGGCGACGACCAGCAAGGGGAGGAGAAAGGGGGAAAGTCGGAAAGGAAGAACAGTTCAGACCGAAACCCGGATGAAGGCAACCGGCAAAATGAACAAACAGACACTGAATCAGGTATGTGTTTATAGATGATAAAATGTATATTTTGAACTAGATGTGAAAACCTATGTCTGGAAATATTTTCTTTAGTTGGTAAATGTATAAATGATGGTATTTGTCACTACGATGATGGTGGTTTGAATGAGGGCGGGTCTGTATGTTAAAGGTTCTGGTGTTACTGTCTGAAGTAAACCTATGGATGTAATTGTTTCCAAAATTGTTACATCTACTATGAATTGATTCAGAGGCAGGTCAAGGCTGGCCATCATGCAGACTCGTTTCTGTTAAAGTGAAAGCCGGCGTTTAACGTTTTGGATGATATTAAAGACCACTCGATAGCTCAAACGGGACCTCCTCTGAGGTCAGTGTGTGTCTGTGTGTCCCCGGACTTCTGATAGATACTTCTGTTACATCAAACACTGGCTCACTGACGCGTACCTGGGATCAGTTACCTAGTGAAGAAAAATTATTACGATGCCTCTGTAACATGGGACTTGCAACAAGGCTATACATAGCATGTCTATCTGGATAATGGATGTGTGCCTCCTGTATGATATATGCGTCACGAAACTACTGTGGTCTGATATGAAAAGGTCACTGTACGGGCCTCTGTAAACCAATGTACCCTCCTTACCTGGCAGGTTGACTCATGTCATCGGTTCCCAGTTGCGCAGATCGATGCTCATGCTGTTGATCACTTGGTTGTCTGGTCCAGACTCGATTATTTACAGACCGCCGCCATATAGCTGGAATATTGCTGAGTGTGGCGTAAAACTAAACGCACTCACTCACTCCTTACCGGGCATGACAGAACACACTCGAGTGGCCACTTCGTCACCTTATCTATACGACCTACCGTTTAATATTCGGGTGTGCAGATTGTGGACATTTTGTACTGACAGAGAATCTCACTTGAGTCAATTTGATATCAAATATATCAACGCGCATCGATGAAAGTTTAAATGTTCTAAACTTTTATCCACTTGATATAAAATGAGATTATATTTATCATCCAAAACCATTCTTCAACTTTTAATAACAGTAACAGCCAGTACCTTGCATGTATTAAGTACAGCTGACATGTCTAACAGTCAGATAATGTCAGTGTGACGTCACAGTTATCTACAAAGGATTCTGATGCAATTGAATTGAATCCTAGTAGGTAACGTGGTCAAAATCAAGCGATACCTCCTATGACGCCAGTTGGGATGATAAATTATAAGGTCTATCACTTCTGAAACAAAAGTGAGGGGAACGAAATAAATATGCCCTTCTCCTTACAATACAAAATGGTCAGTTGGTCCCTGATGGGACAAATCTTCCAGTAACTATTCTGTCTATATATATCCATATATCCATGATATATCTATGTACAGGCGCTAACTTATAGCTTACACTAACCCAGCTTTTTTACGTTTCTAAGGGTGCATGATGTGGTTAATAATACCTTTATTTATTTCAGTTTTGTTGTGTAAATATTATGTTTTATTTTTCGTTACAACATGCGCAGTAAGTCCTGTAAAAGTAGAACAGTGTCGATTAGATTTACTCCAACTTCCGAAGTAGACAGCTTATGTCAGTTTTATACATTTTAGGCATTGTAAGTCAACTATCCACGCTTTCCTCTTTAATACATCTAGAGCATAGGCAACATGAACACTACAAACCATCCCGCAGCTGTAAGTTCAACTGCTAGTGTTCAACCAGCGAAAACAGGTGTGCCAGAAGGTATATTACATGATAATAAGGTTCTTACAACGTTAATAAGGTGCTTACAACGTTCCGGTGAATGGGTATTACACATGACATCGATGTGTTAGGTGTATGGGTGGGATTTACGCTGATTTCAGCAATATTCTCACTGAGGACACTAGAAATGAAATGCACACATTATATTCATAGAGTATTCTGCCTGGAGAATCAACCGCATTAATCTCTAGGATAACCCCGCCCCCCGTTGTGGACGTTTGTTTGAGTAACTCCGGCGACGTGGGATTACAGAAAACAAATGTCCCTAAACTGTAACAATGATATTCCTGGGATGAGAGCATGCCCTAGCAAACAATGGCTGTCCCAAACACCGCGTTGTGAAGCAGCAGCCTTGTACAATTGTCTTGAGTAAGTCGAGCCCCGAGACGAAGCAAGATTCCAAGTAAGAGCGTTCCCCAAGCACATTTTGTACCACACAGTGACCCTAATTCCTACGACTGCTGATTGACAACTCCTCTGCATTACCTTTGCATGCACCCGTCTGTCGAGAGCCCAAACGATGACTATAACCACATGACAACACTCCTCACAGTGTCATTACATGCACCAACCCTGTGCAGAACTTACGTGTCACGCTGACGGTGACCTGTAATAAGACTCCTCAACATCCCCCATGCACCGACCCTGTGTTGAGCCCGCACACTAAACGTCAACCTGTTGTGCCCATGACATACACCAGATCAACAACGTTATAAAACAGTAGTTTCAATGCTGATAGTTTTGTTGCACATTAATTCTCAACTGACTTTTCATTAACATTTAATCAATGTCTGATGATACGCCTGGTTCTGTTAAAGATGTATTAATTCCATCGCATTATCGAGGGCTGGTTTACCACCAGATATTGTTTTGTGGTGTAAAAGATCAACAACGTTATAGAGAATGAAGGCTTGATCACGGGCTGATGTAACTGAATCGTTGTTTCCAAACCAAAACCCTGTCGTGTTTCCTAGCAACGTTTTCGTCGCTATGGCAATATATATTTCTGTGCTGACTTTCCTCTTTATTTCGCTTGTTTGTGTCAGTTTGATGTGTTGTTAGCTCGCTACAGCTTCGCCTATTCTCCGCCGCCATTTCCTAGCCGACCCCGGTAAGTAACCATCTCAGTGATCAGCTGTTTTTGATTTGATTACCAGCCTCTGCTATGGACGCGCTTGAGCCAGAATCAGGGCAGGATGGGAGTAATGACGATGGAAGTTTACCAAATACCGGTAGTAAACCTGTGAGTAAAGAAAGTATGGACGAAGCGAAGGTCAGTGTAGGTAGTGACGTAGAGCAGACAGGTTCTGCTATACAAGGGGAACGGGCGGAACTGGGGGACCACGTGGACGACAGTGACAATAAGCAGAGGGAGAAACGTTCAGGTGAACATGTCGATGCCAGAAATAGCAGCAATGATTCTGGATCACGAAATGCTATGCTGGGTTCAGAGGACACAGCCACTGACAAGTCTGCGGACGATAAGGGTCAGGATATTGCGTTAAGGGGAGATAATCACATCGGGGAAAGGAGAAGGAGGAAGAAGGAAGTGAGAATGAATTACAATCTAGGAATGATGGTTCCGGGATGAGGAAAATAAGGCCGATGACGTCACGACTGAAATTAGCCAGTCACAGTGTCAAGATCTTAATCAGTCACAAGAGAATAAATCAGAAAAGGAGGAGACCCATAACCGCCTCGATGAAAGAACGGAAACAGAGGAAACACAAGCCAAATCACATGACCAAAGTTCTCCAGACAGTGATAGTACAACACCTGAACGTAGCCAAACACAGACTGAGAAGTCCGACACGCCGGGCAGAGAGGAGGAACATGCTGAGACAGTGAACACACGTATGGATACGAACGATTCTAACCCTTCACAGGCACAGACTCAGGAGGAAACGTCCGACAGTAGAATAGCGGAAAGACTTGACCTTAGGTCGGAACACATTCAACCCCTGACTGAAGACCCGGACCAAGTCCCACAAGAAAGGCCTGCTGAAGGTGAAGGTGAAAATGTTGGTGAAGGTGAAGATAAAGGTGAAGGTGATGCTGATAGTGGCGCTGGTTCAGACAATAAGGCGTCAAGTTTGTCTGAAGAAGGACCAGCTTTACAGTCTCGCGATGACGAGAGTAGAGGGGAGGAACGGGTAACAAGTAATTCAGATGATAAGGAAAATGGTGAAGAATTACAGGAAACAGGTAGTATTCGGGTAGATGAACGGCCAGAGCTGCTGGTGGAAAATGGACATTCAAATCAGGGCAGCGAGTTACAACAAGGAAACGATTGCAATGATACAGATGAAAGGTTGCCAGCTAGGAGAGAGTCAGAGAATGGATCACATGAAGTGACTGGAACAGATTCTACAGAGGCCAAGGATTCAAGAGGAAATGCCGAAGACGACAAGAAAGCGTCCTGGCAGCGAGATATAGACAGTCGGGAATACCAGGAGTCCTCCTCACTGGATGGTCGTAAGAAGGATGAAAATGGAGACATTGAGTTTGAAACGTCTAGTTTGAGTCATTCTGAGAGTGAAGCCACGAGAGGCCGGCCGCCGATATCAACCGTGTACGTTAAGGCTCCTAGGAAACAATCGAATCCGGAATCCGACACTGCACATAGCCAGGATGAGATCGAGATTGTCAGCCAGGCCAACCGACAAGATGGCGATCAGCAGGAAATACCGAATGAGGAGAACGGGAATGAACCCGATGCTACGGAAGAGGTTAGGTATGAGGCTGAGGAAAACAGAGAGGCTGAAGTTGAGGAAAAGGTAGTGGATGAAGTTCAGGAAAAGGATGAGGATGAGGTGAAACAAGAGGTCCAGGAGGATGTTGCCAATGACGATGTTGATGGGGAGCAGGGTGAGGTTGGTGTTGAATCAGACGTTAATGCAGAAGAAACGGCCGAAACGGAAGATCAGAGTGAGGTGGTTGACAATGGTGGGGCTAAAGATGCGGTTGGAAAAGACGTTGATGAGGATGGGGAAGTGGGCGAGAGGGACAAAGCGGAGGTAAGAGAGGAGGTTGAGGTTGAGCATAGGAAGGAAAGCGTGACTCGTGAGTCAGTTAAGGATGACGATTTGGATAAAGAGGTTAAGGTTGAGAGTGAGGTCACAGATAAAGTTATGGGGAGGACAGGGTAGGGTTGAAAGCGATGAAGGTGAAAGTGTGGAGAGTGAGGAAGAAGAGGACTCAAGTAGCGAGGACGAAGACGGGACAAGCGGAGACAGTGAAGACGATGCCGAGGATGACAAGAAGTCTGCTTTAGTTCCAGGTGAAAAGACTGTACAAAGTACAGAGGTCCAAGCTGGGCAGCAGACAGAGGGGGATGCCAGGGGGAACACGAGGAAGGAGTCCACAGTCTCCGATATACCTCCTTCTGCTACAACTGACAAGAGTCAGGCCAGTATCAAGACACAGTCCAGAGGTAGCGTGGGTAATTCAGACAGTCTCTCTCAGGGCTTCGAGAATCAGGTGCTGAAAAGGACGTCCAACCTGAGGTGAAAGACGCGCCGGTCGACGCTGCACAAGCCCCAGAGACGAGAGGGGAAGAGGAGGAACAGGATAAGAAATCTGTGGCTACGTCACGAGCGTCACTGACAGAGAGATATGTGAACTGGCGACAACGATGTGGAAAGCTGACTCTTAAAAAGTAGCGAAGTGAGCATGAAGGAGAGGTCGTGCCGCATTAATGACGATTAATGACGATACACGCGGATGCAAACTGACGTTACGTGGACAAAGAACCCGCAAAGAAAATTCCCAGTTTCCAAACCAAGTGCTTGAGTCAAGAAAAAAAGAACCAGTTAGGGAAACAAAAAGATACGAAAACAGACAAGAGAAGAAGAAGGCCCCACCTAAGTCGGATGGTCGAGGGCGAGCTGTGGGTTGCCTTAATTTCGGAGATCCTTTGTCCCCAGGAGAAAGTTTCGATGGTCGTTAACGGAAAGTGCTGAAGCGCTATAGTTTGGTATGAACTCACCTGAAGTGGCGGAAAACGCTGATCCCCAATGAAGACCCCCGCACGACCCTCGGTGATCAATAGTATGACGAAGAAAAGTGACATTTCGCGAAGTGTTATAACGCTCCTCGAAGTTGATAAAGGTATACAAAAACCCGCGAACGCGCGTATCCTGCCGTTATTTAAACATTTATAACAGGAAATTAGCGGAGTTTTGTTTAAGTTAGTTGAATGGTACCGAGGAAGTTCAGGCACGTCTCTTAAGATTATTCTCTTTTAGGTAGTGTGAAATTGAGCGACAGATGAAATTCGGTGAAGTCGGCCCGTTCATGTCGTCTTTGTCGTCATTCGCCTGTTCATCTCGGTGAATGAAAAGCGCGGCGGTCCACCGCGCGGCAAAAGTACGTTAGATGCGACGCTGATTTTGCGAAGAACCGCCGCGCACGAATTCCCTGATGCCTTCCGATATGTTTGTGGCGATAATATCTGTTGTATCGATTTTGTAATTGACCATCATTGCATGTTTTCGCCTCATCGCACGGCCCCAATGCCGCATCGCCTTAAGTCGAATTATATGACTTTATCGCGATGCGCAACCTACGAGCATCATTGGCGATTAACATCCTTTGTTAGCCACCGATTATAATGGCAATGCGCCATACCGGACGCAGCACGCCGACATCCTTCATCGCACAGCCTGCGTCTACGGTGTCCCAACCCCGTACGACCCAAAAATGGTTTACTTCCATCGAAGTTAACATTTATTCCAGCTCTTAACGGATTCCCTTTCCTATCTTATGGCGATTTCCGCCCCAAAGTGCCGCATCCCCGCGATCCTCACCGCCTCTGTTTGCTCTCCTTCCGTCTGCTCCGCACCTCTTTACGATTGATCTGTTCTTTACCCAATGCCGCAGCACCGTCGCCAGTTTTCATCTCCACCGCGCCTTCCGCCGCTATTTTGACTCGCATGCACGTTTAAGCCTGCGTTTTTACGTTTCCGGCCAACCCAGTCCCTTTGATTTGTTTTGCAGACCGGCTATGTCGACCGTTCGATACGTCCTCCTGTTCCGGCCATGGAAGCGAGTTTTATGAGGAATTGATATTAGGGTGGAATATATTCATAAAGAAATGGCGATACTGCCAGCGCAATTTAAACCGCATCGCGCGTCCCATGTTTGTCGTTTATATTTCTACAGATACCCAGGTGCGCCATCCAGTAACCACACTGGTATGTGCTACCCAAATTTATTTTGCTACGGCCTGGGCCGGCGCGATCTCTACCATACCGCTAAAAGTTTGACGACTCAGTCTTGACCTAACTCTTTTTTCTCAAAAACCATCACGAAGCAACGTACGCAAATATTACCGAGAAGTGCCTCTTTTCCCAAATACCCGGCCGGTACGCAGCAGTCCAAAATGCAGCGTCCCCGCAGCCCCAAGTCGTTGTGCGGTCCGCTTTATCCAAAGCGATGCTACGATTCTTGTAGAGCTAAGATAATTGTAAATCGGTATTGATGAACTGGATTTCTGATGTTCATAAAGCAAAGAAAATCGTGAATTTCTGTTGAAGTACTATAAAGTATACGGGCGAGACGATTGTCGTAGAGCTAAACCGATTGTAAATCTACATTAAAATAATAAAATCTTTGTTGATGTATGGAGGCTGCATGAGATCGAGACAATTATAAATTTATATCAAAAGGGGCTACGAATGTTCGCGGAGATACGAATGTGCTGAGAGTAGCTTGAAAGTGGATAGCTGGAATATTGCTAAGTGCGGCCTAAAACTAAAGTCACTCACTCACTTGAAAGTGGAGGTACAGCAAACGTAAATCCTCCACAGTTCTCCTACGATTGCTTTGTGAAGCTATGTCCTGACAACCAGTTATAACCATTACAATCATATCTCTCAACCATAGATAATGATTAGTTACCTTCCTCCAACTAGCACCAGATTCCTGACTATAATCGCCATACTTTTGTAGTAGAGTCCGGTATCATTCCGCTACCCATAATTTCATATGTTTCTGGTTCCCTTAAAATTGAATAACGTAGGCATTTGTACTTCTTTGGCTTTGCGACCCGTGAAGATCCGAGGTAAAATAGGTCTTCAGCAACCCATGCTTGCCACAAAAGGCGACTGTGCTTGTCGTAAGAGGCGACTAACGGGATCGGGTGGTCAGGCTCGCTGACTTGGTTGACACATGTCATCGGTTCCCAATTGCGCAGATCGATGCTCATGCTGTTGATCACTGGATTGGCTGGTCCATACTCGATTATTTACAGACCGCCGCCATATAGCTGGAATATTGCTGAGTGCGGCGTAAAACTAAACTCACTCATTCACTCTTTGGCTTTGCTGACGGTTAAATATGTCCTTAGGCAACAAAAAATGACTTATTTGTTCATCTAAGTTTCCAAGATGAGGGGATGGAGGAGCATCGTTCAAAGGTTTTAATGTCTTCTCACAGTGTAATATGAGCTAAGTGCGTGTCATTTTTCAATATTTTATTATTTTCGTTTAGAAATACATGTATTTTGTAGGAATGGTGAGATTCTGATAACTAATAAAATTTTGTTGTGGATCAATCTCATATAAATGTTAGGTACGTCAAACATTTACCATTCTTTCTTTGGACATATAACAGGAAACGTCTTAACTGAAGGAATGAATTACCGTATAGCTGACAATGTAAGCATAGCTTATATAACCTTTATATGAGTTGTAACGTTTATTTCGTCACTATTGTGACAGGGGGTAAGAGTAAAGGGCGCAAGACAACAAAGAAGAGTCCCAGAGAGGAAACGTCCGAGGAAACGCCTCACGGTAACTATTTCGCATTCGTGACCACTCGGGACAGATACGGAAAAGGGCGAGTGGTCACGAATAACTATATATGGCAATACTGCTTGATGTAGATATAGACTGTAACCAAGTTGTTACCGTGGTTACATAACAATATAGCCACCCTCATAACCAAAGCTAAATACACCCTCTTAGAATTTGTAGAGGCTCAATACCAAAGCGACGGTTAACATTACGCTAAGTGCAGATAATAGCAAGCTGCTTTCACAACGTGAAGAAATGGCAAAAATACCCAGTGTCGATGGATACTGCTAGTCTGTATGTCATTACCCTGGCTTTGATGTTGATCCACACAGTGTTATATCGAGTCAAAGAAATGACGTTTTAATGTTTATTCCCTGTTGGACGTAACATGTAGATGTTAATGGCTATGAAGGATCAATGTGAAAGAGCTTAGCTTCTTAATCGGCTTGTAAGATTTGCATATGGAGAGACTCGTGTGAGCGAAGTGAGTCAGGAGATAATCCCCTCATTGCGGTCTTGATTTACTTGCATGCTAACATGGCACTGGGTACCTAACACAAATCTATTATGCATCGATTAATTTCCTATTAGCGAACACGGTTTATAATATGGACCTATGTCGAGGGTCTCTCATGAAGATCTGTTGGAACTGGTCTTCAGTAACCCGTGCTCGTTGTAAGAGGCGACTAACGGGTCGAATAATCAGGCTCGCTGACTTGTCAATTGTGTAGGTCAATTGGACCAATTGCGTAGGTCAATGCTTATGTTGTCAATCACTAGAATGTATGGTCCAGACACGATTATTTACAAACCGCCATCATATAGCTGGAATATTGCTCAATGTTGCGTTGAACAGTAAACAAACACACCAAACAAGAGACTCGGATGTGATGAAGTTGGCAACGATGTAACATATTAAGATTCAAGACCAGTTTACGTTTTATGGTGGTTTGGCCTAAAACCTACGAGAGGAAGGCATCCAGAATATATCAATGAAGTATATCAGTATAGGATTCGAACCCGGACCAAACTTATTAAAATAGTATGTTTACATACCAAGGACGCTCTATGACCTAGACTGTCATACTATCACACCTACCCCTGCTTATGCTTTGCTTAACCGTCAAACTAGTATGTGGATTTAAAATCATTCATTAAAATATTTACAATAATTATATTTCTGTATGCAAGATGACTATTTCTAAGATGTATTAGACATATATTCACCAACAGTTCCAGACATTAACGCTGGCGAGAAGCGTTTCGAAAACAGACCTTGACATTTTGTCGCACTGTTGAACCCAGTCATTGTGATCAGGCAGTTATGAAGTGAATGATAACCGCACGACATTGAAGCGGTGCCCACAAGGTATAGATCCTCGTTGAGGATACCGCCCTGTCACTATAGACCCGACATACAGAGACCTATCCTGTACAGGGCTCACAATGCACGGGGCATTTCTTAACAATAACATCAATGCCTGTGACGACATTCGTTTAAAGTCCTATCAATCTTTCAGTACAGCTATCAAAACGTGTCATTATATTCGAACAGTCCTCCTATTGATTTCAAGGCGGTTCAGATGTAAGGGTGTATGTGTTAGCACTTGGCGCTGTCTACCCGGTTATACAGCTGCCTCGATATACCGTCGCAACCTGAGACATTCTGGCAGGTTTCGCCAACTCTCGGGATCGATGCCCGTAAACAACAATGTACACGAGTGATTGCTTCACTGTTTGAGTAATAGGGGACGTGTGTGAAGGTAATAGCCCCGATGTTGATATCAATGAACAACAAAGGTAAACGATATTGAATACCCCGAACTCCCGTTATGGAAACATACCTGGGCCTAGATTTTCGAAGCTCTCTTAGCCCTAAGATAGTCGTAAGTAAATGTTAATGTATGGCACTTACGACTATCTTAACGCTAAGAGAGCTTCGAAAATCTGGGCCCTGGACGATTACCCTTGGGAGTGAGTGAGTTTAGTTTTACGCCGCTTTTAGCAATATTCCAGCAATATCACCGCGAGACAGCAGACATGGGCTTCACACATTATACCCATGTGGGGAATCGAACCCTTGGGAACGTCTATAGCTGGTAATGGGAATTTAGTACCTACCTGTGATGCGTTTATCCGAACATATGTTAATTAGGACTTTAACAGGGAACGTAGTGGTCTATGGGTATTAGCCCATTAGAGTTGCGCCCCTTAGTGGTACCAGAACCCTATGAATTCGAATCTCGGTTTACGCTCATTATGCCTCTCTAGGTTTGTCAGCACCCGTCGTCACGAACGCCTAAGACCTGGATTACTTCGTGTGTTCCTCTCTATCCTACTGACACGTCATAATGAAACTGTATCATGATTCAAAGAGACGTTGATCTCACGTCAGTCACACTGTTCACGTTGTTGAAGGCTGCATATGACCTTGACCTTTACCTTTGCCCAATCATGCAGTTGGACCTATATACACTTTCAATTTTATCGGTTTAAATGTACAGAACTTGTCACCGAACACTTCCGGTGAGTTTATGTGTTCCAAATACTAATCCGTGTATATACACATGTGTAGAGTTCGATGGCCGCTCCAAACAGAGGGAGTTCTTCAAGGAGGAACTCAAACGCCTGGAGGAAGCGCTCAAGAGGGAGAAGTCGAAAATAATCAAACCTGACATGTAAGTTGGCCGTTGTGACGTCATCCTCATTTACGCTGTCCGTATTTAAAATATATGTTTCCCATCTGCCACACGCCTTGAATTTCCATTCCGACGTAATGATCAAAAGATGTTTGTTCGTTTATCTCAATTTCCCCGCCGCTTGGTTAATTTACGCCCTGCATGATGCGATAAAATACTGTAAAAAGATCGGGTCAGCTTAAGCCTTCTCCTACATTTATTAAGAATTGTTTCCGAAGTAAAGTGACTAGATCTAGATCATAAATTAATTCAAAGACAAGGGTGAACTATAGAGTTACGACAGGTCGTAACGTTACGAACGCTTTGTGGATCGGCACCCAGTATCCAAGTGGTATCTAAATTGTACAATTTCATAAAATACGTTACACAATTAGTGAATTACATGTTTCTTAGTTTTCCATTTTGTTTTAATTTCGCCCGACTGCTCTGTTGCTGGTTGAGATTGGAGATGAGAAACATGAAAAATACGGATACATAACATTCAACCATATAATACTAGTTGAACGTACAATTATACTGATACAAAACATTTATACCCATGTTTGATGGTGGTTAACAGTGGTTATTCCACGGTGATGTGTTTGATACAGGAACATTGTTGTACTACATGCAGTGTATGGGTGACCGTTTCTTTGTTTAGTTTTTCTATTTTGCGAAAAAGCAACAAGCATGTGAAGCAAATAATTTATTGTTTTTCATAATCTAAGGCAAACAACAATTCTGGTATTCCCCGAAATATATAGCTTTTTTATAAATATATTTTATTGAATCATGATTAGGTTTCCCCATCACGTTATATGTCACTGAGTTCTCAATATCACACATAACAAGATTTGGAGATTTGCAAGGAAACCATTCCAACCAAATACCAAGAAGAGATTCTGTTAAAACATACTTTCACCTCTCATAAACAACAATAAACAGATCCTTGTTAAGCCTACATATATAGGAACTGATCATAAGTGATCATGGCGTGGTATGAAAAACTGGAGCGACATGCACGCCATCGAACACGGCTCCGATCACATCATCAATTAGGAAGTGCAGTACTGATCTACTAAGCAAGGCAGTTATTGATCTGACTACATAATCAATACGTGTCCCTGGGTTATATATAATTGAAGTGGCTGATTGCATCGCTCGTTGTTTCAGTAAGAAACATACACCTTACATCTTCAACACCCTGGAGCCCTACTACAACACATCGACCGTCCGGTACCTGGTGGAACTGGTGAGTTAGTGAGTGAGTGAGTGAGTGAGTGGAATGGGTGAGTTAATGGCCGCGTGAAAAGGTTAATGTGGTGTGTGAGCTGGTTGCAGAGGCGTGGTTCTGTTTGTTTGTTTTTCGCGCTCAGCTGTATTCCAGCTTTATGAAAGCGGTCTGCGAATGATCGAATCTACAATACAGCAATCCAATGGTTGACATCATGAGCACCGTTCTACGCAACTGGGATACAATGACGTGCATCAGCCAAGTCAGCGGCCTTTAAACCCGATCCCGTTAGTCCGCTCTTACGACAAACATAAGTTGCTGAAGACCACTTCTAACCCGGATCTTCATAGGTCTGGAGTGAGTGAGTGAGTGAGTGCATTGCTGGTCAAATATTACATACCTATCTATCAGCGATTATGTCGCCTTGAATATTATGATTATTAAGTTGCAAGTCAGTAATGACTGTTTGAAGGGTTAGCCTTTGTATAATAGTACATACACCAAGAAAGAGACCTCGAGAGACTTAAATGTTGCCAGCTATCTCTTTCTTTTCTGGCATGCGAGACCATTGTTGTAAGGCGCTCACTTGTGGAGGTGTGTCCCTTTGTCTGGTCAAATTCAGTTGGTCGCGGGTTCGAATTCCAGATTCTACCCGATTATGACCTGTGGTGTTGCCGCTCATGCAAGTGTTAGAGAATTTCACCAAAGAAGTGACCCTGCGACAAGTGGCGTACACAAATTCGACGAATTGTAGATATTTTTCAAAGCGGCGTAGAATCTCACTGATTCATCTCCATCGTGTACATAATTGTGCTGAGATTCTCAACCAACTGTTGCTGCAGACATATTGATGTGAGTGATACTTTCTTATAGGACAGATTTCCGTCATTGTAATATATACCCATCATGATCTCTGTGGCAGCCGGAAGAGGTACAGCACCGGTTCGTGAGCCGGAAGACCGCTATCGGCCTGTGTGACCCGTGGGTGGACTACAACATGGACACCAAGTTCCTGCCTCGCATCTCCACCTCCGCACGCGGCGTCAGCAGGTATCATGATATGGAGAAGCGAGAGTAAGTATACCTATCTACTTTGAATAACGGGCGCTCAGTCGCCATGTTTGTAATTCTGTTCATAGTTGCCTCCCTTAGTCGACAAAGTGAGTGAGTTGAGTTTTACGCCGCACTCAGCAATTTCCCAGCTATATGGCGGAGTTTGTAAATAATCGAGTCTGGACCAGACAATCCAGTTATCAACAGCATGATCATCGATCTGCGCAATTGGGAACCGATGACATGTGTCAACCAAGTCGGCGAGCCTGATCACCCGATCCCGTTAGTCGCCTTTTACGACAAGCATGGGTTACTAAAGGTCAATATTCTAACCCGGACCTTCACGTGTATAGTCGACAAAGAATCATTTGATCGTACGGTAGATCTCAGTACCAGATTCGAGTGAGTGAGTTAGGTTTTACGCCGCACTCAGCAATATTCCACCTTTATGGCGGCGGTCTGTAAATAATCGAGTCTGGACCAGACAATCCAGTGATCAACAACATGAGCATCTATCTACGCCATTGGAAACCGATGACATATGTCAACCAAGTCAGGGAGCCTGACCACCCGATCCCGTTAGTCGCCTCTTACCACAAGCACCAGATCCTGACCCTTGGTCTGTCTGTAGCATACCCTTGGTTGTGGATTATCCAAAGTGAATTGTTTTCACGTTGAGACATTACTTAACTGAAAGATGTTCAAAGCGGGTTTATCCCATGAACTGAATGCATCATGCCTTACTTGAGTAGATGACTGTTACAATTGTGTTGTTCTCTGTGGTCAGCGAGAAGATCAGAGAACGCGAGAAGCGCTCCAAGAAGGAAGGGAGCACCAGACTGCCCAAGTTCCCTGTCGTCACGCTTGACTCCAAGGAGTACGCCACCAAACCTTTATACTACAGTGATGTTCCTGAACTCAGGTAAGTGACGCCACGCCACGCCCACTTAACCTACCATCACGCCCACGTCCATGCCCATACTAACATTTATACTAGTAACCGGAACGACATAATCCCTCACTGAACAAAAGTGTTTACTTCAATAAAGGTGGCTCTGTGAATGAAATAGAAATATTAGTATTCGGTATTGACATATGCTAATGAACGGACAGAGGCGGTGCGGTTTCCAGTAAGCTAGGCTGACTGCTGGAGTCAGTTCCCTGTCGACAAATGGTTTACTGTTATAATGCGATGGATGTATTATAAACTGGATAATTGAGAATGGTATAAGTGTAAATAGTGTTACATTTATTTGGCTCTGCGGTGCTATTTATGTCCTTTATTATATCCACGTATAATTAGCTAAGACATTAATCAACTAATTAATTAAATAGCATTCACAGTTCACAACTCGTGTAAGTACCTTACAAGTTTTATGTATAATCGTCACGTGTTGCATGGCTGTATGATCCCCAGGGGGTTGAAAAAGTATCGAAAAATACGATGGTGTCCTATGACCGGAGGTAGTAATGTACGTAGCGCCGCGAGCAGGCAATATGCCTTGAAATGAGCGCCATATAAGCGGGCTATTACTATTACTGTTGTCATGCTCAGTGATGTATTATCATTATTATTATCATTTAAGGAGGGAGCTCCGCGACAAATACAGCCAGAACGCTACCAAGAAAATCGACGAAGATTACAACAGGACAAAACAAGACTTCTACCGCATGGATCTTGACAAACTTGATGAAGTTCATCCAATGAACCGCCCGCACATGCGCAATGCATATTTCGCCTACCTCCAGAATACCCCCGGCTCCCGGAAGGCGGTTGTGGAGTGCGTGAAGGGGTTGAAGGCGGAAGGCAAGGCGAACTAGGCATTGCGCATGCGTTGCGCAAAGACGTTGTAAATAATCCATAGCAATATTGTACATAGCATTTGTGTCGTGGAAATAATGTTCAGTTATCAGCTGGTACAGCATTTAGCGTTAAGCAGACGACAGTCAATGCATTTTAGAAAGTGATATTTCTAATAATGACAGACATTTCATTGTGAGTATTATTTAAAATATGAGCGTTAGGTTCATCAGTTATACATTGAAACAGCTTTTATACGATAGTATAAACGATACAATGTTTACCATGTTCCATATGTAAATAGACATGCCCAAGAAACTGTCTGAACGACGGGTCCAGCTCAATGGAGTTTCACTGTTGGGATATGTAGCCACGACGTCGTTAACAACGTTGACGTCGACTGTGCAGATGGATGCTAATATTAGCGATTATCACTTACTGTTTCCTGTCAAACATCGCCATGGTTTGAAAAGCATTTACTACTGTCAGTTAGAAGAGAGAACATTTAGGTTCCAAAATGGTGTCTTGGGGAGAAGCAGGTTAGATCAGCGGTGTCGATGGTGGTAAGCCAGTTGATGTTTGTGCATCTATATATACGTGCCTTACAAAACCACTGAGACACTGCGCTGTGTGTGGAATTTAGTCTACGATCCCCATACGTCAACTGATGTTAACGTTATTTTCACGACTTTTGTTGAACTGTTATATGTATGCATTTGTTTCGTCATCTACAGACGTGTTCAAGAGTCACGCTACATACAGTGTACCTACATATGTATATATTTCCTGTTACAGGCAATAACGTTGGGTGAAATATGCCTCACGCCGTTAACGCTTGCTTTCTTCAAAGCGATCTTAGCGATACGTCCATCTTAAAAGATGGGAGTTAAGATAATCTTAGCGCCAAGACTGTCATAAGTCCGCCTTAACTTATAGGATGCGAGTCATGGTGGATCATCTTAGCGCCAAGACTGCCATAAGTCCATCTTAAGGGATGGGAGTAAGTATCGCCTTAGTGCTAAGACCGCCCTAAGACCATCTTCAAGAACGGGACGATCCCTTCTTGGAACGGGGAGGAAACGTATGATGAACTTAACACCTTCTCGTCGGTAAGGGGCGGTGGGGTAGGCTAGTGGTCAAAGTGTCCACTTGTCATGACGAAGATCCGAGTTCGATTTCCCACATGGATACAATGTCTGAAGCCATTTCGGGTGTACCCCGCCGCGATATTGCTGGAACATCGTTAAAAGCGGTGATAAACCATACTCACTCTTACTGATACACTATGAGCGGAACACATCATGGGGTTCCGACAAAGATCCGTCCATTCTGAATGAAGTGATTTAATGTTTGTACCACGCTCACTTGAGTACCAAATCAGCATGTACCGCCCAAGAATTAAATAGCATTATATCAACTGTTTTGTCTGATTACAGTGTGGTCGAAAGGCTGCCATATCGTTAGTCATTCGACTCCAGGATGAACCGAGGTAATGCACAGTCCGTTATACGATTACATTGTCACGTCTCCAATTTGAGACCGGTGTGATCACGTGATTACATTATAACTGGGATGGACAGCGGCGAGTCCTGTTGTAAGTCACGGAAGTCATCAAATCGGCATCCGATCCAGGCGACCTAACCAGGAGCATCTCAGTCATTGGTCCTGGTCATAACTGATATAATCGGCATCCATTATCCAGTCTGTATTTTCGACGTGTCATAACCATATATTTGAGCCCTGGTGTATCATGTATAACTGATCGTTATATTATTACGCCCTGGTGTATCATAACTGATATCTTTCGTTATATTATTACGCCCTGGTGTATCATAACTGATATCTTTCGTTATATTATTACGCGCCTGATATCCTGGTGTCCGATAATTTCGATACTGATATCTTTCGTTATATTATTATTACCGCCCGGTGTCATCTGATATCTTTCGTTATATTATTACGCCCTGGTGTATCATAACTGATATATTTCGTTATATTATTACGCCCTTGTATTATTGATATCTTTCGTTATATTATTACGCCCTGGTGTATCATAACTGATATCTTTCGTTATATTATTACGCCCTGGTGTCTAACTGATATATTTCGTTATATTATTACGCCCTGGTGTATCATAACTGATATCTTTCGTTATATTATTACGCCCTGGTGTATCGCCCTGGTATTACGCCCTGGTGTATCATAACTGATATCTTTCGTTATATTATTACGCCCTGGTGTATCATAACTGATATATTTCGTTATATTATTACGCCCTGGTGTATCATAACTGATATCTTTCGTTATATTATTACGCCCTGGTGTATCATAACTGATATCTTTCGTTATATTATTACGCCCTGGTGTATCATAACTGATATCTTTCGTTATATTATTACGCCCTGGTGTATCATAACTGATATCGTTATATTTTCTGGTGTATTAACTGATATTATTATTACGCCCTGGTGTATCATAACTGATATATTTCGTTATATTATTACGCCCTGGTGTATCATAACTGATATCTTTCGTTATATTATTACGCCCTGGTGTATCATAACTGATATCTTTCGTTATATTATTACGCCCTGGTGTATCATAACTGACATATTTCGTTATATTATTTGGTATCATAACTGACATCTTTCGTTATATTATTACGCCCTGGTGTATCATAACCGATATCTTTCGTTATATTATTACGCCCTGGTGTATCATAACTGATATATTTCGTTATATTATTAATGTTGTACAGTATGCATGAGCCTGCCTGTGATATATTTAATGCTTTAACCAAATTGTAATAAATATCTAATACGTCCAAAAATTTTGTCCAACCGTCCTTGTTCTTTCAATTAATCCACCTATAGTTCCGGCGAATGGAGTCCCAACGCTGAAATTGTTCTCAGAACAGGAGCGTAGCTAGCCAGTTTGTTCATGTAAGCCCGATAGGTTGCAAAGCTTTGTATTTAGATAGAATTGAGGGCTTGCCCAACCTTTTCAGCAAAAATCATGTGTAAGCCCGGGCTTTTTTTTTATAATGGTAACTACGCCCCTGTAGAACATTCGGCAAATACTTGTCGGTCACATCGAAGTTCGGTAGCTATTCGCTAAGACCCCGTACCACAAAGCGATCTTATCACTAAGGTGATCCTAACTCCCATACCTGAACATTTACTAGCGACAATCGGAGTAATACGATGGTTTAGTGGAATTGGGAAGACAGTTCGTCTTTAATGCACTGACATGTTTGTCGTTTAACATCACACACAATAATTGTTTTTAACATCCAATGCAGCAGTATTATTGATATAAGACAAACGATGCAAGACCTTCCAAGTCGGTAACCGTGCTTTAACGTTCATCAACGATTTATGTTCCTTATGCATTAATACCCGTGTTGATCCGGGTTAGAACTGGTCTTCAGTAATCCATACTTGTAAGAGGTGACGAACGGGATCGGTTGATCAGACTCGCTGACCTGGTTGACACATCCTCGACTCCCAATTGGCTAAGATCGATGCTCGGGCTGTTAAAGTCATCACTGGATTGTCTGGTCCAGACTCGACCAGGGGCGTACCTTCCATTACACAAAAATGGCTTTGAAAATGAGAGGTTGGAAGCTCTCAAAACAATCTAAATATACAGCTTTGCAACCTATCGGGCTTACACGAAAAAATGGCTTGCTACGCGCCTGTCGATTATTTACAGAACGCCGCCATATAGCTGGAATATTGCTGACAGCTTCGTTAAACAACAAACCAAACAATCTTCATGCATTAAAACATTACAGGTTACACCTATCGAACTTCAGAAAGCCCATGTAGGAAGACGTCACCGCACTGCTTCACGCAGAGCTGGATCGAACAGCCGTAGAGTACTGTCTCAAGTCTTCTGATTGCAGTGGGGACAGGTCCTCTTTCAGAAACAGATATGGATACAAGGATCAACTGTCTTGTATATATCATATTTGGGAGGATGGAGTTAGAAAACCATCACTAAAAAAATTAAATTGATGAGTCACAACTCTGTTGTACATCTGGCTCATAATACCCAAATGGACACCTTTCTGACACCCTTACTGTATAAAGTGTCGAGAAACAGATTATGAACGATATCGGATTGTCTTTAACCTCTTTTGAAGCGTTATGCTTTACACACACTTGAAGCAAGTAACTTCCGTTGTTCTGGCACTGTAATAAGTAATATTTCATTTCCGAAGGCGAGTTCAACTGAGCGAAGGGTTTATGATTGGCTTTTTCATCAAACTGTACCAGTTAATTAATGTAAGATTATTATTCGCTATTATAAGCATGAGAGGACTCTTTGCTTTGGTCTAGTCACACAGGAGGCCCCCCAGTCTGGGTTCCTGTACAGCGCACGATACAAGGGAAGTAACTCTTGACCACTTTGATCATCCCAAGTTCAAAGGCAGGCTTTGTCAACCCAGATTGGGTCTGACAAACTGCAAAAACAACACCCAAGGGTTAAAAGGAAAAACATGTCAACTAATCGTTGATAACAGACCTACAGTGAATATTAACCGATACAGATAAACACTAAGACTTTTCCTGTATTGAGTCATAGGACCACCTTAGTTCTGATAATACCCAAAATTGTTTGCTGTGAAAAGTCATATCAAATTGTTTTGTGGAAATACTGTTAGTTACGCACTTCCAGCTAGCTGTGGTAACAAAGGGGTCCAAGATATGGATCACGCAAGCTGGAAACATTAACGCCCAGAATAATCTCACACACTCAAGCCTCAGCAAAACAAAAAAGAGGTAATACTTCAGTCTTTTTTCCAAACATACCTCTGAATACACCTGGATTTAAATGATCAGATAAATTTCCCCTTTAAGAATCTGTCCCTACACACTAAGAGTATGTCTGGAGTTCAGCGATCAAACTTCTTTCAAAATGGCTGCCTTATACAAAAACACAGTGTACTGTTGCTTCATACTTTCACGCAATGATGTGGAATGCAATATGCCTCATTAAATGAGGTGAGGTGAGGTGAAATGGGGTTTTACGTCGTGCTTGAGAATATTTCGCTCATATGACGACGTGCATGCATGTGTATGTGTGGTTGTTTGTACTAGCCCAGACTTAAGCTGGTTTTATAGTGCTAGCTCACTGAGATACTATGCCGCAGTGAAACATGAATACCCCACTCAGACACAGTATACTGACTCCGAGCCGACCAGTCCTTGTTGTACCCATTAATGCCGAGCGCCAGGCAGGGACCAACAAGTACCATATTTTAACGTCTTTTGGTATGACGCGGTCGGGGATCGAACCCGCGACCTTCCGCTCTCCGGGCGGACACTCCAACCACTACACCATGGAAGTGGTCCCTCATTAAATGTAATATGTAAACATGTCATCTGCTGCCTGTCACAGCACCAAGGCCGCAACAAGGAGTTAAAAGTATGAGCGGAACACACTTATATGTTCCAACAAAGTCCCTTCCATTTCTAAGACAACAATGTGATTGTATCACATGCACTTGGCTTTGCGTTGGCATTACATCACATCGCAATGTCAAATAATGACTTCTCACTGAATTGTTGTGAGGTTGTATATCAGAATTGACTGAAGTCAAGAAGCTTTAAATCTTAATGACTCATGTTGATTTTGCAGTGTTTGATCTCTTTACAGGGATTGGGATAGAGAACTTTGACTAAAGGCCATTTTCAGGATTATTAGCCATTAATCTGAATTTAGAATGGGCCACTGCCCTGGTATCAATAGTAAACTTCAAATTATTAATGGGCCATTTTTTATTCTAATGTGCAAAATGGCCAAGGGCCCCTACCTTTCCCAATCCCAGTTTATTCTGTTCTGGGTATTTTCTTTCAATACCAAACATGACATGAAGAGACATTGGTTCCCAATTGCCCAGGTCGATGCTCATGTTGTTGATCACTGGGTTGTCTGGTCTAGACTCAATTATTTACAGATTGCCGCCATATAGCTGGAATATTGCCGAGTGCGGCGTAAAGCTCAACTCCCTCACTCACATAAAGAGACAGGATACAATGTTGTTTTACAGTGAGACCACACATGAACATCTACTGAATGTCCACAAGCCCAATTGTCTGCTTAATTCTCTGGTCACAATGAGACAAGGAATGAATTAGAGACCATGATTTATTTATTTCTGTGTCTGTACAAAGTCGGCTCTTTTTACTTGCCAGGAAGGATGATTCCATCATACTGAAAGAGAAAACCACATATGAGCACAATGTCAACATCTGGGATATACATAGTAGAACATGGCTTACTGAGGACATGTCTCACCAAATGTGTATCAAAACAGATAGCAAAATCTGTCTTGAGTTGCAACGGAGAGTTTAGTTTTGCATGAATTATAAAGTCAGGCTGTAATGAATATTAATACAACCCGTGCCTTCATGCATATGACAGATCTTCAGTAAATTGCTAACATTTTGGCCAGATTGCCAATGGCTCACAATGTTGCCAACGGGCAACAAGGTACACATTGCCTATGTACATTCCAGGTGAACTAAATAGTGTAACTCAGTCCATGAGCTTGTCATCAGATGGATATTCTGACCAAAAATGAGAACTCAAAATAAGAGCAAATGCTTGGATGTTAATGATTGACATGTGGTACCTATAACCAGTCAAGGTTTAAAATCTTTATAAGATAAAGGCCTTACTCTATAGTAAACACCAAAAATGTAAGAAGACAGATTCAGGGTTGAAGAAAGTGATACCTTCTTTTTGGTCAAATGGGCCCCAGGACAATTGACAACATTAAAACACTTTGCAGGTATTTGTTATTGCGGGAACATCAAAAAGGAAGTGTCTCACCAAATCAGTATCCATGCTAACTATGATTAAGTCAGCTAGAGTTGCAGAGGTGAAGTTAGTTTTGCACAAATTTAAAAGTCAGGCAGCAGTGAGAATCACTGCCACCCGTGCCTTCGTGCTTCTTGACTTGAAAATAATTATGTCCACATGCACCAAGCACACGTGAAACCTCAAAGTTCTGTCTGATGAAACCTAACTTTTCCACAAAACAGATTTGTGAACACTCAATACCTCAAACCAAGTCTTGTGTAACATACTACAGCATAATTCTCAGTATCTTGTGTGATGGTTTATACTTTCTTCTAGTCAGGAGGTTCTGCAAGATGATTTATCTGTCTTCAAGGTGACGAGTATGCTACACAGCAGTCAGGAGGTTTATTCATGTAGTGTGACATCATGTGACATCATGAAAGTCACAAGTTACATTATGCATAGGTTAGAAAGAAAAATGAAAACTTTTACAATAACCTTAGGGAATTTCTAAGTTGTTTTGAAACATATGGTTCATATTTAACTTCTCAACTTCTTAGCTACTTTCCAAGATATACTTGAAATATGCAACTCCAAACGTACATAGCCAAGACATCCCCAAAACAATATAAATCTGTCTCACCAACATTGTATCAAAACAGAACAATCTGTCTAGAGTTGCAGAGGTGAATTTAGTTTTGCACAAATTAAAAAGTCAGGCAGCAGTGAATCACTGCAACCCGTGCCTTTGTGCTAAGTTCCCAGAACACAAATCCCAACACCACCAGATACATTCAATCAAAAATTTGTAGTCATTAACTGGTTGCCATGTGTCTTTTCAAAGGGGATATCAAGATCCTTGAGACTATAAGCAAAGGGAACAAGAGTCATCAGAAGATGACAAATCCCCCCAGCCCCCAATATTTGAAAGAACAAATCATCCGACAGTTGCTTAAAGTCCAACTTGATTTTTTTTAGACTAAGTCCAAATCGTTTCCATGGAAATCATAAAAAACATAAATGCTAAAAATCTGGAAACAGCAAAAGGCACCACTTCAAGCTCTGTTTGATATATCTGCCAAGTCTTGTAGAAAGATGTTGAACAGTTTTCAAGTGCTCTGGAAACGAAGCCCACCCCTCCCTTTTGAGACTAAGTCCAAAACATTTCCATGGAAACCAAGAAAAATAAAAATGACAAATCTGTAAATAGCAAAAGGCACCACTTTAGGATCTGTTTGACATATTTACCAATTTTTTAATTCTTTTTCACATTTTTATTCATTTCACTTCGGCAGGGGTAGATACATATATTATATTGTTTTTCAAAGCATATACAGTGAAGCGCTCATAAAATGTTGGACATGTCAGGTGTATAATTATATCTGTAATACATGTAATACATGATCTATTTACCAATTTTTGTTGAAAAGTATTGGACAGGGTTTTTATTGTTATGCTCACACAGATGAGGCATCGACTATATCCTTCCACATTGCATGCCGGAGGATAACAATATTTAAGAAACATACTTTCATTGGGGTCAGGGGAGCAGCTGAAGACAATAATGCTGGAATTGAACGGTGAGCAGAAGGTTTGCAGATCCAACCATTAACCCATAATTTGAGAACTATACTTTCTAAATCCAACTTATTACGGCATCTGTTAATTCTCGAGACTTCAACCATCGGATTATGCTCCAACACTATCCATGAACTTCACTAAAATTATCACTGTCTAAAATTGTCAAGACACCATTATAAACATCTGTACCTCTAGGGCTCGCACCCTTGTGAACATCAGGTAATTCCTGGATCCATTTTTTGGTTCTTGTGATTTCAGAACACCTGCCCCTGATTTTCATTACAATTTTACCTACTAATCAAATGTCGAGATATGAAATTGTTTCAATGGACATCAACACATCCTTTATTACAAAAAGATTTCTTGATGGCCTTCACTGCATGTCCATCAGCTTTTTCACAGATGAATTTCTAATTAGTCAGTGGGACTTGACTGCCATTATGACATTGAGGCTGGTTTGTAACTTACATTCTCACAGGTATGAGAGTTAAGTAGCAAATCAAATCAAACTGACTCATGGAAATAAGGGGGAATAATTTCAGATTGCACGAACAGGAATGGACTCTTGGGTTAGTGTATGCATCATAATCAACAAAGTAACTGTCTCACCAACATTGTATCAAAACAGAACAATCTGTCTAGAGTTGCAGAGGTGAATTTAGTTTAGCACAAATTAAAAAGTCAGGCAGCAGCGAATCACTGCAACCCGTGCCTTTGTGCTAAGTTTCCAGGGCATAAATTCAGCACCATCAGACACTTAGTTTTTGTTCTAACTTCAGAATTATTGAATAACTGGCCTCATTTCATATTAGTTTAATGGGAGTCTCAAAATTTCGTGGATTCTGTAACACCCCTCATGCTGTTCCTAGCTAAGATTTTGTAAATTACCTTCTGCTGGAACCATTTCATGGACTCTTCTTTGCCGATCTTGTGACTGGTTCCAACGCGGCCACGCTTTCTCCTTCTCTGGGCGACATTGAAGCCTATAAGGTAGACCAGTTAAACATGCTTAACACGTTCCAGGCTCAAGTCAGCTATATAACAGGCACATGTGCAAACTATTCAAAAACCAACCTAACATATACTTGTACATACAAGTGGGAGCGATAGGACTAACTTGAAATGATTTGCCCAAAGATCTTTCAATTATTAAAAAAACTCAAGTGAACTTGAAATGCCCTCGCTTTTCCAGTCCCAGCTAAAAATACATCTCTTCCGACAGTCATACCTGGACTAAAATCTACTGCCTTGCGTTAGTGTCCCCATTGAGTTTAGATTGATACTATAGTATATTTGTTCAAGACGATTTGACTAATTAGCTTTCAGCATACACAATGTATGGAGTTGGCACCAGATAAATGAACTTATTACTATTAAATCTGTTTTTTAAAACAAGTATACAAACATCAGCATTCCAACCTTATTTTTTTCATACATAAATCTTCACCTAGCAATGTGGTTACTTGGGAGTAATGAACAGTGAATCCAGTACACATGCACATTTCAAGGTGACACTTTTGAGATCCTAAACAAGTGTATTATTTATTGTGTCTTCCCCCTTAAACATACCTGGTCTGCCAAGGACAATGTAGAAGTCCATTCCGTAGATGCCGATGTTGGGATCGTATTTGATTCCCAGATCAATGTGTTCCTGAATGCCGAAGCCGAAGTTTCCAGTGTCGGAAAAGTTGCATTTTCTCAACTCATATTCTCTCACCTGTAATAAAGTACAAAAAAACATCCACAAAATGAAAGAAAAGGTTCTGTAGTTGACCTCACAAGTGAGATGTCACCAGGTTGTACACAGAAATACATATCTGACCCATTCACAGAGGCCCAGATAAGCTGCCTATCCGGGTAAAATATGCATACAAAATTCCAATTACGCATTGAAAAATATTTGTTGGGTACCAATTACGCATTTAAAATGTTAGATACGCAAAAAGTTTAAAACAAATGCGTACGGAATATATTTATAACAACCGCTTGCGTAATGAAAAAGACATCGATTGCTATCAAGTTGTACTGTTAGTATAGGACAAGTGTTGTACTGTCAGTATAGGATGAGTGATCTTTTATGAAATCATTTCCATTATATTTAAGTTGGTTTTGATTAGGTATGACATAAGGCAGAACATACCTGCTTAGTAAACTTACTCAATGGCATAATACTTAGGTGAGTAAAATGACTGAAATACGTACATATCTGAAAGCAGTGGGTAACGGAAAATGAAATATCCACTCAACATTCATAATACCCACTCCAACAAAATACAGTGGGTACATAACCCACATGAGCTAAATCTTATCTGGAGCTCTGCATTCACCAGGGTAATGAGGCACTTTCAGCAGACTTCAAAGGAAAAATTTGTGCATTGTAAAGAAGCACATTGTTTTAGATGTAGTTCACCAATATCCACAGCCACTGGTGCTTAAAGTTGTATGTTTCTAGACTAGTGCAAAAAGAGGTACATACAGCAACAATTGTCATTTACATTTTTATTGTCATAGGCCAAGGTACTGATAATAGCTCACATCTGCCTTACCAAATGTGTTTCAAAACATAACAATCTGTCTAAAGCTTAAGAATTAAAATTTCTACGAACTTAATATTCATGCAACAGCGAGTACCACTACAACCTGTGCCTTCATACTGAGATTAAGAATTTAAGTAATATATCATGACTGACAGAGTGAGTTTGGTTTTACGCCGCTTTTAGCAATATTCCAGCTACATCACAGCAGGGGAACACCAGAAATAGGCTTCACACATTGCACCCATGTGGGGATTCGAACCCGGGTCTTCGGCGTGACGAGCCAACGCTTTAACCACTAGGCTACCCCACCGCCCCTTAATAGATCATGAAGAGTTTGGGGTTCAATGTCACTTTGAATATTCTGTGTGCAGTCCAGTAGTTGACAGTATGTGCATCTGGGTTAAGATGACATGCAACAATATACCTAGCGGACCTTCGCACACAACCCGCTAGACACCTCAAGACAATCATATGTTGTTGGAAACAGATTTTCACAGGGCTTCAGGTACTAACACAAAATTCAACAAAAACACACCTTTCCAGTCTTTCAAGTTGTAGATCATTATGTTTTTGTGTCACAGCTTTGGTCAAGGTCGGGAGCATTATTACACTAGGTTTACATATTTCACATTTAAGAGGTTATAAGGGCCTATTTCTTTGGGGTGGACAAGATGGTTGCCTATAGCCTCAAAACTACACCATAGAGTCAAAACCAATATTTGGATTAAATATACCTCTTTAGACTAAACCATCAACTTAAAAGCAAATACTTCCAATTAAATTAGTAGGGCTGCGCAATATAACTGGTTTACCAGTATTTTCATGATGGCTAGATGTCCAATACATTAATCTGAAGCTAATATGTCTCACCTAATGTGTATCAAAACAGATTGCAAAATCTGTCAAGAGTTGCAGAGGTGAACTTTGTTTTGCACAAATTATCAAGTCAGGCAGTAGTGAGGATCACTACAACCCGTGCCTTCGTGCTGGGTTTCAAGAGCACAAAATTCAACAACACTAGATATATTCAGTTGAAACTTTGATGTCAACATTAACTGGTTGCAATGCATGTCTTACAAAGGAACAATATTTAAGAAACCTACATTACTTTACTACTGGGGTCAAGGGAGCAGCAATGGACAGTAATCCCAGAATTAAAGGTAAACAGAATGTTTGCAGATCCAACCACTAACCCATGACTTACCATCAGATAACGCACCAACACTTTCCATGTAACTTTGCTAAAATTATCACTGGCAACAAGTTTCATGATGGCTGCAGATGCTGAATACATTAATCTGAAGCTAATATGTCTCACCTAATGTGTATCAAAACAGATTGCAAAATCTGTCAAGAGTTGCAGAGGTGAACTTTGTTTTGCACAAATTATAAAGTCAGGCAGTAGTGAGGATCACTACAACCCGTGCCTTTGTGCTCCCCATATTGGGTATTTGAACAGAATGTCAGCAATGACACTAGCCAAGATTTCATTTGACTTGTCCCATTTGAAATTTTTATTTCTTAAATTGTATATCACAAATACCTTGAGTCCCTTCTCTAGGATCTCCTCAGCCTTGGCTCCTCGGACAGTACAGTGGACAGCAATTCTTTCATTTCTTCTGATACCAAAAGATCGCACAGTGTAGCGGGCTGGAAGTCAACAAATCGAGGTTAGTGCCATAAACATAAGGCCGACTGGCATGAGCATCTTCCCTTCGCATGGTTTATCATAGTTTATCATTTCACCTAGTAGTAAGAACCCTCACTAACAATGGTCAAAAGTAACAGATTTATTGATCCGTTTCTGATGAAACATTCTCAATGTCTGCATCTAGTCACCACAGAGTAAGAAATACAACTTCCACCATTCATAATAAAACTATAAACTATATAAAAGATATTTTCAAAACAGACACTTTTTACTGGATCAAAATAGCATATTCCTTGTTAAACTGCCCATAAGATAATCTGAACAGAATTTGAGATAAATATCTTTATTCTCATCTGTAGTATGGCTCCTGATTAGTGTACAAACATACCTTTAGAGAAAACGGGCTGTTGTCCAGTAAGTTGTTCCAACACTTTGGCTGCTCTGGTCAGCCTGTCACCAGATTCACCAACACAGATATTGAGACAAAGTTTGCGGATGCGTAGCTCTCGCATAACATTTGTTTTCTTCTTATCATCAACCTTGCCCTTAGGCTTTGCCTTGGCCTCTTTCTACAAAGCACAAATCTTAACATCACGAAATGACTATATAGATCTAGAGATCACTAGAATTGGTTACACACAAGAATCGACTAAGAATAGTTTGTACTAGTATGGTTTCAAGCTGCATTGAAAATTAAGCCTTTTTGATTCATTGCAGTTTAATTCCAGGTGGTTAGGTTTATGTTTGATAAAACCCTGAACAATGCATATTTCAGATATATGCATGGGCCAATATATGTCCTCCATGTGTCAAAACCCAACTTCTCTGACCGAAGTGTTTACACTCACAGTAGCACCTTATTGCAAGCCTCACAGGATATATATCAATTTAATCATTACCTTTCCACAACAGACATTTAACTGATCACTTTTATCAAATTATGCATCTTGCACGTCAATGCTAACGCCCAAACTATTTAGCAACATAAACGTATCTGACCTATGCATTGAACAATCCCTTATTTCAAACGGTTCTGGGAGCAAAGAACTGACAAAAACTTTATTCATAATGCAGTTTTTATATCCGCTAGTGATCCCTTTGTATCGGGTTGACTTTGATTACATCTTCAAAGAGACTAAAAGCCACGATGTAAGCAGATTCGTGACGGTATCCACAAAAACAGTACTGACCGCCATGATGTGTTGTTAGGAAAAGGAAGTTGACGGTGGACTGCATGCCGGAAGAAAAACATTTTTCGGATATATCTTATTTCTTTACCAATTATGATACTGATAATGCATGCATACATATGTTCACAATAGACTATTCCTAAAACTATACAATTTCAGTAAAATTCTTTAGTCTCGTGTTACCGTAAGCTTGTCACGTGACCAATGGCGGCTTCCCTCGCGACGAACGAATACAACAAACAAATTCTCATGCATAGTCAGTAATCGGACTTCAGACTCGAAACCACATTGCAAAATGAGTTCCAGTGGCGAAGAAGAAGAAAATAACAAAAATGACCCTGAAGCTCGCATTGCAGCCCGTAGATTACGCATTCAAAGACGAATCGAGGCAGCAAAACGGTATGTCACCCTTCAATAATATACACAATAGTCGACCATCCAACAAGGCTGATATATGAAGGCTGTTGTGATCGTCCATTTGAAGCTCCTACTTCTCATTAATTAACTGTGATCATTATATAAGTTCAAGATACAACACTGGGCTCTTTTCTTTATCTTATTAGTCGTTCGTTTGTATTTAAAAAGAGCAGAGAGAGAGAAACAAATCAAAACACTGTAGACTAGATATTATTAGATAAATATTAAAACTAGTTTTTGATTCATAAGATGAAACACAGTGATTTCCAGGGACATTTGGATATTTTCTTGATGGGATTCTGATGGGAAATTCCGATTCAGAAGGAAAAACGGTAAGACTTCCGCGCGTATCCCCCCTAAATTATAACGATGAGAAAATATTTCTTAGAGTGGCATTTTTAGAAGTTGGACATGTCTTTCAGCATGTTCAGATACAATTAAAGAAATATGTTAAAATTCATCCTTATCAGATGAGAAATATACATTCAGGTGATATGGTTTAACTAGAATTAAATTCAAGGGGGGATACGGCGGGAGTCTTTCCGGAAAGGTTTTTGAATGACAATTATTTAATGTCACAGAAAATAAGCCCACGTCTCAAAGCCTGTATACTGGTACTCTCTATTATCGGAGAAGCACCACACCCCATGTCGGCTGTTTACATATGCAAATTAAGTAAAAATAAATAACCTCTCTTGAAAAAGTAATTTATTTCATTGGATTGTCATGTCGAATTGTAGAAATATCAAAAGTATTCATCTTTGCAGTAACTTCTGGAACATTTTGAAACAAGTAAGACCCCTACCACCATTGCATATTGCAAGAATCAAAACTTTACTTCACCCTGCACACTGCAGCAAATTGTATGGCACATTTTAAGGCTGCAACAAATTATTTTGTTACCAGGGATTGGGATAGAGAACTTTGACAATGGGTCATTTTCAGGATTATTAGCCATTTTCTGATTTTAGAAGGGGCCACTATCCTTGTATCAATAGTAAACTTCAAAATTTTAATGGGCCATTTTTTATTCTAATGTGCAAAATGGCCCATGGCCCCTGTCTTTCCTAATCCCTGGTTACGTTATCTTTGCCTTGTATCCAAATGAATGGAAGTTTCAGATGTTTTGTTTAAAAACATGATGATATGACTAATCTTAATGAAATTCCTAAATAATTTTTAACATCAAAACTACTTTGATTCGTTACTTGTCCTAAGTAAATGTTTCACTGTGTCATTTGCTTGTTAACCCTGGCCATAGAAAGAAAATAGCAATACCGCGATAATAGAGAGTTGCTTCATTTTCCAGGTCAAAAGAGGCAATCGGGATTGACACAATCATATTGAGCGAGTTGCGATTATTATTGCGACAGAAATGAAGATTAAACATCAGTCAACTGAAAATATATATAAAATGCCAACTGTCAGGTGGCGTTCATAATCTATCATTAACTACCACGATAATAGAGGGTCCCATGATATGTACTTGTAACCTATTTGGTAGGGGTGACTATTGATGGTGAAACAACTATTGCAATAGCTGTAAATAGTCTATTGCAACATACTGTTAACTGATAATGATAGTCTATTATGACCAACTATTGCAATAGGGTTTTTTGCAATAGGTTTGAGTGAGTGAGTGAGTGAGTTCAGTTTTACGCCGCTTTTAACCATATTCCAGCTATATCACGGCGGGGACACCAGAAATGGGCTTCACACATTGTACCCATGTGGGGAATCGAACCCGGGTCTTCGTCGTGAGGAGCGAACGCTTTAACCACTAGGCTACCCCTTCGCCCTTTTTTTTGTTGTTGCTTGAATTGTCTCATTTGAAGTCATTTCCCAAATGATTGTTTATATGAAATAAAAACAAGTTTAAGTAGTTTCAGACTGACAAGAAACTTGAAACCCAGATCAAGTAAACAGTTAAAACAAATATTAAACTCAATGAAGCTGCAAGTCTGCACCCAAACAATATTTGTTTAAGAGGTAACAGGGGCGAATAACTCTAAATCAAAGTGAACGAGTCTGGTACTTCCTGTATTGTGCACTGCGCATTTATCAAAGGAAGCCAATTACAAAACTATCGATAGTCACACATACTATCGATGCATCGGTAGTTTTTAATTTCTACCATCGATTAATTGCTATCGGAGACTCAACAATTTTAATCCATCGATAGTTCGATGCATCCTTACCGCCCTACTATTTAGCATGTTAAATGTTGAAAAATATGTAATTCCAATGACCAAGATTACCCATGAGATACCTTTAAGACGTTAGAGGTGACTAGGGATAATGGTCAGGCTCACTGACTTGATTGACACATGTCATCGTATCCCAACTGCATAGATTGATGCTCATGCTGTTGATCACTGGATTGTCTGGTCCAGATTTGATTATTTACAGACCGCTGCCATATAGCTAGAGTATTGCTGATTGTGGCGTAAAACTAAACTCACTCAGATACCTTTAATATGGATAGGATTATTTTTGGCTAATGCCTTCTTTTGATCTATTATTCAGCTGATATTGATGATGTTTTCCTATTTATTATAGTATTTTGGAAATGAGCAAGTAAAGCTTTAATCATATTAAGTGCACATAACAATTATGTGTCATCTGTAATTGACAGGGCTGCGATGGGTGAAGACCCCGAATGAAAAGAAGGAAGTGAAAGAAGAACTGAGCAAGAGCAGGAAGCAGATTGAAGACAGTCGGCTCCGTTTGACCAAGCTGGACAAGGATGGATTTGAACTGGTCACTAATATACGAGTGGCTGGAGATGCTCGGGAGGCAATGCGGAGGACAGATGAAGAAGAAGCCAAACGACTGAGGTGATTTTTATAGAAAGAGATTACTGAAAAAATGTCATATTTTCGAATAGAATATCGTTATTTGTGTTGTTTATGTTTGAAAGCGATGTAGTAAAATTGAAATGAACTCTTTATTGTCCATGCATTAGGATTAGCTGTAACAATGCAGTAGCTCTGATGTTAAATTTGTTGTGAGATTCTAAGAAAGAAAATCAAGGGTATGTCACATAGTCTATAACATCATCACATAGGTGCTGTGACATTATGTATCACAACAATCACCAATTAAACAGTTTGCATCAGCATGTGACCAATTATGTCATTGTTAAATGTGCTGTTCCTATCATTTTCATGAAGCTTGCTTTGAGCTTCAAAATTTTTGTGCCTCTAATGCTTGTATACTACTTGTTGATGAAGATGATTGATTTGCAGAAAAGAGAGGTTGGAACAAGAGGCCAAGTCAGGAACAGAGAGATTTGAGGAGGTGAGAACAATGACTGGGACTGGGATGTCCAAAGCACACCCTCATGGGTAATCCTGAATCAGCACTAGTTTGAGCATGTTGAATTATTTCTTTATAAATAATGTATTTATTGCTGTTTTCAGGGTATGTATGACTTTTATGTTAAAATGGCACCTGCACTCCCATCCGGCAGCCATACCATCCAAATCATTCATATTGTGGGCTTGTATTGCAGATTACAAAGAAATGGGAGTCAGCCCTGCAGAAAGAAGTACCACAGTCACTTCATGAGGTTTGTTTGATGTTGCATTTCTATTTGGTTTTGATGTCAAAGTAAGTATTAAGTTTGATTGGAAACAAAACAGGTACTTGTTTTGAGCATGTGGGACTATTTTAATTACTCTAAGATACCATCAAAGGGATGTCTACCTGCAAGATTGCACCACATAATAATATAAAGAGATCCCACATGTTTTTGAGCTTGTAAAGATTTCTTCTTCACAAATCTGTAAATTGCCTAAAATAATATGTTTTTCTTGCAGATGTTGAAACTACAGAAGACAGCATGTGATTCCATGATTGATGAGAAAAATAAACTTATTAATGACTTTCAACTGGTAAGACAAACATTAAATACCCTCATGTTGGCCAGGCATTTCGTTAAACAGGGGAGAGAACTCTTTCAGTCTCCACATGTGTTTAGTTTCTACTCTGATATATATATTTGTTTGTTTTATGTACAATAATACTTGCATATTTTATGCTTTGCCATTCATTAGCAATAAATGAATCATTGTACTAAGAAAAAAATAGAGTGAACTCTTGTTTGGAGTGACCATGTTTGGTGAACCGCCTTAAAAGAAATTTGTGTAAATGGCTGTCATGATACAATATGGATTTTGACAGTGACGTCAAAATACACTTTCTCCTTCAGTAATACAATTTATACAGCAAGGTGTCAATATAAAAAAAATAATTGTATTTCAATAGTAAAGGTACAATTCAATACCAATATCAGCGGGTTTGACACGTTAAGCTGCATATGAGCCAATGACTTTGGACCCAAGGTTGTGTACACTGCCTGGGGGAGACTCTGACATAGACTCATAATTGTTATGACACAGCCAGTGGAAGGAAAACAGCTCTATATTGTGAGTATTACATCTAGATATTTATCAGTAAAGACAATTACACAAGCACTACTAGTGTTAAACCTGGTTTACAGGAACTGAAGTCCAAGGATGAACAGTATGTGAAGGACCTGAAGAAGATGGCAGAGGACATTGACCTGATGAAAGAAAGGATGGAGGAGCAGACGCGCAACCTGAAGAAGGCATACCGAGAAGAACTGGAGGAGATAGAGG